CTCCACAAAACTAGCGTCAACATTTATCTTAAAATGGTCGGGATCAGGAGGCTTCCAAAGAACACGTCCGCGGATTAACGTACCTCTAACTATCTATCACCCCCTTACCTTTGTTGCTTAAATCCACTTGCACACATGTGTTGGCTAGCGTGAATGTTTTCCAATAATTTCCCACAAAAAATAAGACAAATATTCTCCCCCCCCACCCCATCGAAAAATCACAGTGGCTGTGCCGCATGGTTTCGGGAAGAGAGAAATGTGGATGTAGCACATGTATCCTTTCTCCAGATATGTCTTCTCTCTCCAATGCTGACGAGGTTGAAGAACATGCTTGTTGCATACATGCTCGGTGTAGGTGCTCCTGTGCTGTTGCAGCGAAGTCGAAGTCGTCGGGTTGCGAGTGCGATGGAGGATTTGCCGTGTTTAGTTTTTCAGCATTTTTGCATGTCTTGTGGCGCTAGTGACCTAGCTTAGATACGTGTAGTTGCCTATTGTTCATGTTTTCATCCAGTTTTCCTTTAATAAACCAAGCAGCTCTCGCCGATGGCCTACTTCTTCTGAATGGAGTCTTAGCTGGTTTTCTGGTAACTTAAAAAAAACTTCTATACTGCTGCACTCGCTGATTATAACTCTTTTTCTAGAATTCATTTAGATGTGATGTACTCCCTCCGTCCCAAAATATAAGAACGTTTTTGACAATAGCGGATCTCCGTCCCACGCTATTGTCAAAAACGTTCTTATATTTTGGGACGGAGGGAGTAACTACTAGGTCACGTCTAAGTATGACATTATCGCTCTCATCTTAGAACTACCCCATCCCACATCGTGCTTGTTCGTTTGTGTGTTTTTCTTTATCTTTCCAACGCCTACCCAAGAGTAAATCACCAAGGCAATCGTTGGCAACGCTAGCCGCAGCAGTGTACCCAGGGGATGCAACGGTTTAGGGGCACTCTCATCCGCAGGAAAACACTGCTCACTGCAAGAGATTATTACTATATCTCTACACCACAGAGATGCACAGATGATCTCTGTACAAGCGCACTTCGTGAACGTTCACACTTTTCATCACATGGGCGAGGTCACGTGTAACAGTATCGCCTGTCACCCCGAAAAAAAAAAAAGTACAGCCGGTCACTGGTCACAAAGCCAATGACGACCATCACTACCAGGCGATTGAAAACGAGGGGCACATTTCTTAAAGAAACAAAAACAAGGGGCACATTCTTTTTTTTTTGGCGGGGTTAAAGGGATTTCATTGCTCAACTAGGAGAGAGGTCCTTCATACAAAGTTGTGGTACATTAGCAGGGCCCGAACTAATCCATAGAGCCATACGGGCTTCAACAAGACCAAAAGTAGCTAGTCTATGACTTACAACATTTTGGTTCCTACTAATATGAGAAATTGAGCTATCCCTTTCACCAAGAAGTTTCCTCACTTCATTCACCAACATTGCATTCATCGATCTGTCCATGGACTGTGACTGAATGGAATCTACCACGACTTTACAATCCATCTCAACATCGATCGGAAAGTCTGACCATTGTAGTGCAAACTTGAGCCCCTCTAGGCACGCAGCTAACTCAGCTTGCAATGGACTCGCACAGCTCAGGAGATTTCTGCATGCGGAGAAAACTATCCCACCGGTGCTGTCGCGGAGGATCATCCCGGCACCTGCCTCACCCGTCTCCTTGATGTAAGCGCCATCTACATTTAGCTTCACCCGGCCATGTACAAGAGGAGTCCATCTAGCAGCCTGAGTAGCAACCTTCTCATGTATTAAAACCAGTGGGCGTCCGTCAACATCAATAGGAGTCTTTCCTTTTAACTGATCGGTTGCAGGGTCATACTTGATGCCAATTAGCGAATGTGCATAGCTCTGCAAGAATCGGCATGATGCGTCCACTGGTGGTGGTGGCTTATCATGTACTATCTCATTACGTACATGCCAAGTACGCCAAAAAATCATTAGCACACGCATGCGATCATCATCTCCAAGTTCATGCAGTACATCAAATAGCCACTCCACGCCCGTGGGACAAACTCCTGCAATTTCCGGCAATTTCCAGTGTTTCGCCATAGCCTTCCAAAGAGCGACCGCTCGCAGACACCTACAGAAGACATGGAACGTGTCCTCTCGCTCCATCGCACAGAGTGGGCATATATCAGAAGTTTCCAAGGATCTAGTATGCTTATTAGCCCAAGTAGCCAGATAATTTGAGGCAAGCTTCCAAGCAAATATACGAACCTTCGGAGGAGCAGGGCACCTCCATATTAGTGCCCAGACGGCACGCCGTCCGTCCGGTGCCCTGCTCGCTGCCACTGAAGTAGGTATAAGCCGTTCGTTGAGGGCGAGGCGATACGCACTCCGAACTGAAAAGACTCCGGACCGCTCGGCCGCCCAAGCGATGACGTCTCCTCCGAGCCGTGGCGAGGCTCTAATCTTCATTATTTCTTGAACGTCGATGTGCAGGAAGTGTTGATGGAGGAGTGTGACGTTCCAGTTTCCATGTACGTCCAGAAGGTCGCTCACCCGACGGAGTCGGCAGCGTCCTTGGATGGTTATCGAACCACGCGCCAGCGGATGAGGGATCCATTGGACCCGCCAAATCCGGACCGAGGTACCATCGCCAATGCGCCATATGAGCCCCTTCTTGAGGAGCTCTAGTCCATGGACAATGGCCTGCCAAGTTGGCGATGCATTGCCTGAGAATACGGTATCCTCCAGTCGACCATTAGGGAAGTAGCGGGCCTTCAACACCTGCGCACATAGGCTATCGGGATTAGCAATAAGACGCCAAGCTTGCCGCGCGAGCAAGGCTTGGTTAAAGAGTCTGAAATCTCGAAATCCCAATCCGCCTTGATCCTTTGGTTTAATCATCGTGTTCCACGCCCGCCAATGCATCTTCCTCTTGCCCTCCTTAGCTCCCCACCAAAAGTTCCTGACCATGCGGGTGAGGTCATCACAAACACTCCGAGGCAGACGGAATACACTCATGAGGTATGTGGGGAGGGATTGCGCGACTGCTTTTATAAGTATCTCCTTCCCTCCTTGTGAAGCCGCTTCACCCCATATCAAGAACCTCTTTGTAAGTTGTTCCTGGAGACCTCGGAACCGGCCCTTTGACATGCGTCCTGTAGGTGTTGGAAGACCTAAATATTTTTCCTCAAACTCAGGGTTTTGCACTTCTAGAACTTGCACAACAGCAGCTACATCAGTAGGGCGGCACCTGCTGCCAAAGAAGATTGAGCATTTCATAGGATTAACAAACTGGCCCGTAGTGCATTCATATACGGTGAGAGCATCCCGAATCTCCATGGCGTCTACGGACGTGGCACGGAAGAACAAGAGGGTGTCATCCGCGAAAAGTAAATGAGAAATACCAGGGGCCCGTGGGCACACATGAAGTGGTTGCAGCAGTCCAAGTTGCACCTTATGTTTCAAAATAGCATCCAGTCCGTCGGCGACCAACAAGAATAAGAATGGTGAGAGCGGGTCTCCCTGCCGTAACCCACGGGACGGTGCGAACGAATCTGAGAGGGCTCCATTGAGTTTAACCTTATATGTCACCGAGGTTACGCACGTCATGATCCAGTGCACCCACCGGCGATCAAAGCCCAACTGTTGCATCATCCGCTTCAGGAATTCCCAGTCCACCGTATCATATGCTTTTGATAGGTCTAACTTGTATGCACAAAAACTACTATCAGGGTCCTTCTCCTGCTTAATGGCGTGGATACACTCAAAGGCAATGTAAGCATTATCAGTAATTAACCTTCCAGGTACAAATGCACTTTGCTCCGGTGCAACGATGTCATCCAGTAAGGGCCTTAGTCGGTTTACTAGGCATTTTGAGATTACCTTGTAGACCACATTACATAAGCTGATTGGCCGGAACTCGGTGAGTGTAGTGGGGTTCGCCACTTTTGGAATAAGCACAATGGATGTTGAATTAATTCCCTCGGGCATAATACCTGACTCAAAAAATAGCCTGACAGCCATAATAACCTCCTCCTTCAGTATGCCCCAATGCCGCTGAAAAAACCTCGCAGGGAAACCATCCGGTCCTGGCGCCTTTAAGGGCCCAATCTGAAACAGGGCATCGCTAATCTCCTTTTCACTGAAAGGGGCACATAATTTATCATTCATATCTGGACTTATTTTTGCTTGGAACAAGTGCAAGATCTCCTCTGGACGGATATTTGGGTCAGCCGTGAACAAGTCCTCAAAGTACTCTTTTGCCATGTTCATCATAACATTCTGGTCTTGCTGCCATGTCCCATTGCTATCTGTTAGGCCCTTGATTCTATTTTCCTAGCATGCTAAACAGCCTTACGATGGAAAAAAATTTGTGTTCCGGTCCCCCTCCTTTAACCAGTCAATGCGAGATCGTTGGAGCCACAACATTTCCTCCTTGTAGAGAAGTTCATTCATTGCGTCCATCTCTTTCCGCAATTCTGCGCGGTCAGCATTCATGTGCATGAGCATTTCTAACCGCGAACGAGACTTTTCTAGTTCTCTTGTTACATTCCCAAATTTCCTATTACTCCATGCATGAAGTTTGCCCATTACCTTCCCTAGTGCAAGATGTACATCCCGCGGATTGTTTTTGCCTCCTGCTTCCTTCCACGCCTGTAACACAACCTCCTCCAAAGCTGGATCCCGTTCCCACATAAGTTCATACCGGCGGCAGCGGCTTGGCCGTGGTTCCGTGTCCGGTACACACCTCACCAGGACCGGGCAATGGTCAGAGCAGGGGGAGACGAGGTGCACCACCGCCGCTTCTGCATAGATATCACGCCAGGAGTTCGTGGCCACTGCTCGGTCTAGCCGCACTTGGACATTCGCCCTGCCGCCTCGTTGATTATCATAAGTGAATGGGTAGCCTGCAAACCCTAAGTCAATTAGTCCACAAGTTTCTAAAGCATCTCTGAAAATAAGCATTTGCCCCGGCGCTCGTGGAGTTTCTGACATATGCTCATAGTCCCACATGGCTTCATTAAAATCTCCAACAAGCATCCAAGGCAAGGCACTCTGGCTGTGCAAGCGACGTATTGCATTCCACACTTCATGTCTATTTTCCACGCGAGGTTCGCCATAAACAAAGGTTATACGCCATGGAGGCTCTCTGACTGAAACACGGACATGCACATCAATCCATCTTTTATTAGCATCCTTGATCTCCACTATTAAAGATTCATGCCAGAATAATGCAAGACCTCCACTGCGACCCTCACTACTAACTCCTTCAAAACCCTGTAAACCTAACCGAGAACGAAGACGATACATCTTTTCTTTTGGTTGCCTAGTTTCACACAAGAAAACAAATTTCGGGGAATGAGCACCCACAAGTGCTACCAAATCACGAACTGTGCGAAGGTTCCCCGCCCCTCGACAGTTCCAACTTAAGCAATTCATGGCTCCTGACGGGGCTCCACACTTGGCCCCGTCAGTTTACCGGCGGCCCCATGGCCGGTTGCCTCCAAGTCCACTCAGCGCTCCCTACTGTTTACCTCCTCCATTAGAAACTTGTGTTCTAGTCTGGTTTTCTTCTCTTTTAACTGTACTTGGAGTACTACTCCTTCCTCTTCCAGTTCTGCAAGCACATCCTCTCCCACAGCATCCTCTCCTTCCAAGATGTTCTCCGAGCCTGCTGCGCCCAGCCTATCCATATTGCAGTCATCTTCCTGTGCCATAGAACAAACTGACGGCGTCCTCCTGTCCGCAATGACGAGCACCCGCGCATCTAGGTTTGCCACCAGCAGTGCTTCAGTTCCCTCGCCGGACGGCTTCGGGCGGGCAGCATCCACTAAGGGAGCCCCGTGATCGCCCCCACCGCCCTTCAAGTTCACGTCAGCACTCACCAGGAGCATACCTAAGGTTCACGACGACGGCGACAAAGGTTGTGCGGTGGAACGCAGCGGCTTCGGCAGCACCTGCAGTAGGAGTTGATCAGGCGGATCACCGGGTTTCTGGTGCCTCTCTGGACTGCCCCTAGGATTAGATGTATATCCATCCACGAGCAGATGCATGAAGTAGTAGTTGTAGGCCGAATTCATCCCAGACTCATGGCGTGAACCAGGTGGAAACCTAGCCTGCGGCTTCCCATGGCGATAGACAACGGGATCGCTTCCACCCTGAGGACCAAGCGATCGGGGAGCGGACGCAGCCGCAACAGGGCCATCGTGGCGCGGAGGCGCACATGAGGCAGCGGTGCCGACCACCGGCAGGCCAAAGCCCGGCGGCGGCGGCAGCAGTGGCGGTGAGGGCGGGGGCCCATAGTCGCCAGACTCCTGAAACCCTAACATCGGGGGCTCAGAGGAATATTGTGACGTGTCTCTAGTGATGTCTGTTCAATGGAAGAAGACATTCTCGTCAACTACAACAAGGGGCACATTCTACATCAGAGGTACCGGTAATTACTCATAGTACAAGTCTGAAACTTAGTAAAGCTAAAAAAATCAAGTCATTTACAACCAATAATACCAAATTTGGGTGTGCTGTAATTGACATGAACAAGAGCTATGCATTCCATTAGTTGCCGCTAAAAATTCTCAAAAAAATTAAAATAAATTCAGTTGCTGCTAGAAAAAGCTACAAAATTTATATTCAGCAAAGTTTGTATATCAGACAGGCTAGTGCTAGCTAGCGTGATAATCAAAGTT